GAGGAGGGGGGGGGCATTTAGAAGAATTTATTATTATTTTATCTCTCAATTCAGCTTCAGTCCAGGTCTAATGTAATTATCAAATACACACACAAACAACATGTTTTCAAAGGAAACAAAAGCTCCTAGAAAGCTACTCTCCTTAACACACTGGGAAATAAAGGCAGGCGCCTGTGCAGAAAGCATGGTTAACTTCACACCGGGTGTTAAATTAATATTTCAACCGCTAAAATATTAGACTGTATCATTTAGCTTATGAGTTCAATTGAATATAAAACTGTGTAAACCCCTTTTCCCCCCAGGGATGCGTTCCTATAAATAAACTAGAGTTCACACCCACTCTTTTTAACCAGAGCTATTCCTTCCCTTTTTTGCGGTACCAGCTGCAATCTTTCCCCTCACATCCCGAAGTCTCTCCGCGTCTACATCTTTTTGAAGGATCACAAGAGCCGCTCCAAAACCCGGAAAAACAAAGGCACTCTCCCTACCACGCACACCAACGTTCAGTCCTACACACATAACACTAATTCACCAACTCCTAAAGTGTTAAAATCAACCGCTAACCTACGGTTACTCAATCATCATTCTCTCCAGCTTTCTGTAATACATTGTTAATAATTGCTTCATCAAGGTTACTGTCTTTTATTATGAAGATGCTTCAGGCGTTTGGCAATAAGTCCATATTCTGACAATAAGTTGCTATAAAGCACAAGCATTGGAAACTCTAATGTGCTAACCCTCTTTTTTTAATGCAATGTAGTATTGCCAATAATTCTCATCACTTGTCATCCCCACAAGAGGGGAGGGGGGAGCAAATCAGCAAACTTTCTCCCTAACTTTCTTGTCTCTGTTTCCTTACATTGCTGCATTGATTACAGAGTTGGCAAAGGAGGAGAGAAAGCACCGATCCCCACATCAAGCCGACAGTTTGCTAGCTCCCCAAGCCGCCCGGACCAGGAAACTTTACAAACCCTTGCAAACTCGCTGCTCTACAGATGGAAACAGAAGGAACCTTTTGCATTTCTGCAACTTTACAAACTGAGGGGGAAGAAAGTGTAAAGATGGGATCCGAGCTTGCGAGAGGTTACAGCAGTAATAATAATAATACTACTAATAGACAACAGCAGCAAACCAATGAAATCGGGGACAGGTCCTCCTAAGCAGGTTAAAGTCTTTAAAAGTGCCGTAAAGAAATCAGAAGGACTTACATGATCGGCTAAATTTGTGGAAGATCCTGAGAGTTCTTCGTGGTCTGATTTGGAGCTGCCATCCCTTTCATCAATAACGAGGTCTATTGGCATTTTTCCTTTCAAACAGCTAATGTACCGATGGCAGAAGTTATCGCACAATTCATGAACCTGAAAACAGTAACAAGAATAGTAGTATCAATAATGGCAAAATATCGGATTGCAATTTTTTTTTATTTTTTTTTGTTTATGGTAGCAAGAACAACCCTCTGATCTGCTCCACAAGTAAGTCTAATTAAGGGGCACAATAGTTGAAGGCAAGGAAACAATAGAGAAATTGTTGCAGCACATATTATTCTCCAGAGACTTGCCGCAGCAACAAGTTAGAGAGAGAGAGAGAGAGAGAGAATGAGATAGTGGGCTCAGACTGGTGCGCAGAGGAAAATCCGACGTGATGATCACATCAGAACTGTGGGAGCTGGACCCAGGCGGTACCTCTGGAGCACACACACCCCGGGCAGGTACAGCTAGGCACTCGGGACGGGATCGCTTTAAAACGGGGCTAAAAAAAAGCTCTGTGTGGCCGGCCGCAGGAAAACGAAGCTGCTCTCTGAGGCTGTGGGAAGAGCCGTTCCCGTCCCAGGGCACAGCCCCCCTCCCCACGCCGCACAGGGGCCCCCTGCCTCTTCCAAACATTTAGTGCTTGCTTGGGGTTAATATGCCTGCCAGAGCTGGAGAAAGGCAGGAGTGCTTTCATTTCTCTTTTTTTTTTTTTGTTAAACATATTATTTCCGAGTCAGGAAAAGAGCTTCTACTGCGGGAATGGGCTAAGAAGGACGGAAGGGGTTTAATAATATATACATTTAATGACTCGGTTGAAATTACATTAAAAAAAATAAAAAAAAAAAGCCGGGCTGGGCTGGGCTGGGCTGGGCATGGCTGTCGGGTGTCACATGCTCTGATGGCACAGGTTACACTATCACACTGCGTTTCCCCTGTCTCCTCTGGCCATGTTTACAAGTCATCCCAAACAGTGGAGAGGGGCGGGGGGGGATGAGGAAGGGGGGGAGCAAGGGGGACAGGGAGGGAACGGCTTGCCCCCCCGCCCACCTCCGTGCCTCTTACCTTTTCTAATTCCAAAAGGTGAAACCTTAGTACTTGTATTGCTTGGATCATCTGCAAGAAAAGTTTCGAGGAAGGGGTTAGGTGGGAGAGAGGAGCTCGGGCGCTGCTCGGAGCTGCCAGCCCGAGTGGGCGAGGGGGAGAAGGGGCTTGTCAGGGCGCGCGCTCATTACCCAGGATTTTAGCTCATTGGTCACGCTCGAACAATTCTGATCAACTTTAACCTAAGCACTCGATTTTTTTTTTTTTATCATATTTATTCCGGGAGCGGTGATTAGTGCTTTATGACCGCGATCTTGGGAGAAAACCTCTTCCTCTCGCCCTGGCTCCCTCTCCTCACTCCGGCCCTCAGCTCGGAGGGTCCGCAGAGCAGCCCCAGGCACACCGCCACCCCCCCCCGGCAGCGGGAGAG